GCCAATAATCAACATTCCCCTACTAAAAAAAATTAGTAGCTAAAAAGTTGACTTTTGCCGACTAATATTATTTTTGGTAGCCAATTCCGTGACTTTTGGCGACTAAATTAGTTTTGGTAGCTAAAAGTGGTCGGCAAAAATGCTTTTTCTTGTAGTGATTAGGCATAACTAAAAATCTCATGAGTTGTAATTAAAATATTATCATAATTAAGGAAGAAAATTAATCATAATTAAAGAAAAAAATGATATAATTAAGAGGTATATAATTCATCCTTTCTAATAGGTGTATATTAGAATTTTTCAATTCACATGGTTACTTATTTACAAGTTGATAACGACACACTCACATGGTTACTTACAAGTTGATAGTCATCTATATATATAACGAGATCTCATGCATGAGTTTCAGATATCAGAGCAAGGTAATCCTTCTCTCTGTCTCTCTGTCTCTCTGTGTGCAAGTTCTTAGAGGGAGTTTTAGACATCAGGGCAAGTAAAGGTAATCCTTCTCTCTCTCTCTCTCTCTCTCTCTCTCTCTCTCTGTGCAAGTTCTTAGAGGGAATGTGGGGTGGGAGGACCTGTTTTATTCTGTTCTGTTTTATCATTTCATTTTTGTTTAGTATTTGTAAATTTTCTTTTTGGATTAATTTAAGTTATTCTTTGAATATACATTTAATTGATCACATCCTTAATTTGTTTAGGTCTTGGAGAATTAATTAATTCAAGAATGGCTGTGATATATCGTTGCTTCGAGAAGGTGCTGTCCGCCACAGATATTACCTACACCTTGGAGATACCGAGGACGGCAGCTTATTTACCTGAGAACAACGATGCCAGCATGCATGTATGGGATCAACGTGATAAAGCTTGGGAACTTCGGATGACTATTAGGGAAGATCAAAGAAAGGCCTTGAAACGAAAAGAGTGGCTTCGTTTAGCAACGGAAAATGATGCGGAGGTGGGTGAAACGGTGAGGTTTTATTTCATTCGCACTCCCGAAGGCGATTCATACTATGTGAAATTTGAAGGCCCTCACCGCAGACGGACTCTGCTGCTTCTTCCTCGTAACTAAGAGAAATACTCAAGGAGAGACCTGCGACAACAGCAACAAGTTTTTATTAAGAATTAAGTTCATGCAACAATAAAATCTAGTGTCTATGTGCTGCTTTGAAGTTTGCCTACTAGTGTTGGTTCCTCTGTTTTGTCCTGTAGTGTTGGTTCCTTACCAATGTTGTGCTTTATTCCTTTTTTGTCTTTCCTTTTAATTGATGTAATTTCATGTGAAATATATGTTTTCTTGATCAATAAAGATTTTGTTTTGCTGGTAAAAAAAAAAAAAAAATTGCAACAATAAAAGCATCTCCCAACTCCTGGCTTCTCTTTTGTAATGATTATATGATTGTAATGGATAATTTTCATTACATAATTCAACGATTATGAAAAAGTAAAATTGAATTGAACCCAAAAAATAAATAAATAGATAGAATTTTTAAAAATGGACAGCACAAACAAATTTTGTAAGCCAAGATAGTCTCTATGTGATTTTGGACTAAATTGTTACAATGAATTTTTTTATTCAAACCAACGAAAAGTGTATCACATATTATTTTTTAGAGTTGGTCTGATTTTTTTAAAAAATAAAATAAAATTACTCACATAGTTTTAGCAATGTTGAGCTAATTTGGTCGTGTATGCTTTTATTATGAATAAGATGCTCATGTGTAGTTCTCTCTCCACATATTTACCTGTCCATCTTCTTTTTCTTTCATTTTATTTAGTAGACCAGTAATTTTTTAAATTTGTAAAAACGAAAAAGGGAACAAGAGAAGATATAAGTTGTACATGAGATGCACCAAAATAAACTACAAGTGAAATAAGAAAATTTGCAGTCTTAGAGACAATTTAGTAATACTAAGGACCAAAAATTTAGAAAAAAAAAAATATTTACAAAAATATTGAAGAAAAATATTGTTTTATTTGTATTTATTTTTTATTATGGTAGGAGTCATATTAGAAATGAATATGCATCACACTTTTTTTTTTTTTTTTTGTTTTTTTGGTGTGTGTGTGTGTATTTAATATAAATGTATAACACATTTTAGAAAGAAAAAAACGAAGCATGCTTTTGTATCTTCTGGTTAAAATGATGAAAAATTGAAGATAAGCTTTATAGACTTGTAATTTACATACGCCTTTGACGAAGAATTTTTGGGTGCTCATGTAACATCTAGAATGCATGTTGTGTGTTCCCATAGTCAAGAGCACTCTATTGAGCTTGCCTATTTATTTTATGTCTATGACCCATTTTTGGAGTTTTATCCTTCAATAGTAAATTTTATTTTCCTCCTAAGGAAACCTTCGAGGAAATATACTTGAAAACCTTTTGAGATCATTAAATTTTGCGATTTTGGAACAAAAATGTATCATGTTTTAGAACGTGCTTTCCAAAATCTAATTCGTTCGGGTGTTAGCATTTTGTGGTAACACTTTGGTTTTATGGATTTTGTATAGAGCTTATTTCCATTGATTTTTTAATTGGGGTGCATTCTGCACATAGTGCATTCCTATTGTCTCTGTTGGTTTGCAATAATTAAAATGCAGGAGGAGGATTCAAGTAATTTGATTACCATCAATTATTCTAAATACATTGATCCTTCTCTAAACCAAATTTCTCTCTTTTTATTCAATGTTCTAGTTCATCATTGATGGATTACTCTCAATTTTATATTAATTGGTCAATTGGAAAGAAGATGAATTGGATTATATCTCTTCTTTGCCAGACATTTGATTTAAGCAGTTCAGAAGCTGTGGACTTTCTAGATACATTTCTATCCATGAATCCAGATTCCAGGTATGACGACATGAAATTTTAATTTTAGTGATATTTCTATAATACAATAATTGTCCTGTATGGCTTCATTTTCCTATAAGGAACTATTTATAATATACTTCTGATCAAAACTGCTTGAGTAGTTCATCTGGCACTTCACCTTACCAATTTCATGCAAGTCCCTAAATGTGATCAATTTTCCATCATTCTGTGGCATAGGATTATTGAACAGGGTATTTGAATCATGGATGAGTGATCTGTTTGTTTGTTTGTTTTTTTCATTTTATCTGCCTTCATTTCTTGTGTTCCTTTTGTTTTGTTTCTTTTTCCTTTCTTTTGCTTGTAGATGTGATTTTTATTTGAGTTTATTAAAAAGTATATTTTCATTGAACTAACACTGCATCCATGCCAATGATGCAAATGAGGGATTTTTGGGTGGCTAAATCAAATTATTTTTGATATTCCATTATTTGATTTAAAAGCATACGTTATTGCTTATTCTTTTTTTCTCAAATATATCAAATCCTTGGTAGGGTTATAATTAACGTTGATCACAGTATTTCTATGAATATATATATTTTTACCCTTATCATTAGTATGTTGTATATTAGTGGCACTGGATAATCCTGCTGTTGTGGTGAAATTCATTAATCATGAAATTCATTAGTCATTATCATATCAGGCTTTTCTTTTCTCTTTATTTTTTCTTTTACGCATAATTTTAAAACATGTAAGCTCAATTTTCTTCCAACAGCTGGGTTCTGAAATTGACACTTTTTTTTAGGGTAAATTACACTAACGCCCCCTGAGGTTTTTATTTAATACAGATCCCTCCCTCACGTTTGAAAAATTACACTTACCTCCCTACCAGATTAAAATGACATATTTACCCCTTAGTCTTTATACATATAAAATAATAAAATAATGCTGATATTTTGTTCATGTCATTTCAAGAGAAATAACAATCATCTTCTTTGGTTTAACTCACACAAAAAATTGATTTTTTTAATTTTTCGTGTTTTTTATTTTTACTGATTTTTTAAAATATTTTAAGCAAATTTTTTTTTTTTTTAGATACACCTAATCTAGATATACTTAAGAAGTATAATATTTTGTGTGTTTTTTTTTTTTTAAATTCATCAAATACAAAAATAAAAAAATTCAGTAATATTGTAATAAATGTGAATGATAGTGTTTGGTAATACTATAATAAATGTGGGTGAATAGACGAGAAAGAAAAATCATGGTGGAAATAAAAATGAAAAATTCTATTCATATATAAAAAATTATACAAATAATATCATAAAAATATTGTGATAGTGATGTTGTAAATATAAATCATGTTTATGGATATTTTGATTTAAAGTAAAAGGTCACCATTAAGTTATATCATTGTGTTCGAAAATTTTATATAAAATTTATGTTTGTATATCATCAGTCAATAAGAATATGTTTAGGTAGAATTTAATGATGGAAAGTTGTAGAATGTAGTCATAATGATAGGAAGAAGAAATGGTAGGAAAAAGGGCAAAATGGTTATTTAGAAAATTTTAGGAATTGACATCAGCAATACAAGGATCAGTTTGTAATGAGATTACAAACTTGAGGGAGGAGAATGTAATTTTTCAAACGTGTGGGAGGAATCTGTATTAAATAGAAACTTTAGGGGATGTCAGTGTAATTTACCCTTCTTTTTTTTTATTATTATTGTGATTTGTGACTATTATAACATGCTGTAGTGCTTCACTAAACTAAAGATGTAGACCATGTGTATCTAAATACGCTTAATTCTGTCCTAGTTGCAGCACTGAAATGCTTTCTTTTCTCTCTTTAGTTGTCTAATTGCATTTAAGTTCGTGTTAATATCAATAGCGCTTAAGTTGGTGGCGATGCAAGAATTGTTTGTCTCACTGTTTGCATCCTGCTCATAGCTTACAGGTTAAAATCCACGCTTTTTTCAGGGTTCTGAGATGGAAGGCTTGTGATCTTTCTGAAAAGGAGTTTTTGGTGAATATTTCTGAAAAGGTCAGTTACCAAGTATTTTTTACTTTTTATGTAAACTACCGATCTTCAATATGAATATCTTGTTTGCGTCTACATTCTTGAAAGGCCTTTTTAGGTATGCCATCTTTATCTAGTTCTTTTTTGATTTCTGACATTTGAACTGCAAACTCATTTGTTACATACATATATTTTAAAAATTAATTTTCCATGGAGTGAAGGTCAATATACATTTGAACAACAAAATAGTCACAAGACAAGCATGACAATTTTTAACGAGGATTTGTGTTTGTGTCAAATGACAGTACTTTTCACACTTCCGGAGTTATGTAGGCAAAATTTTTAAAGTTGTTCTTTATTCAAAAATTAAACTTCATGATTTATGACACTTGGGCAACATGTACTAACAGTGGCCAATATGTAACTCGCAAAACTTAAATGTTGTGTTACCAATTTCATCTAGTTTAGAGAAAATTTTTAATCATGAAGAAATATCAAGTCAAAGGTTTATACAAAAATTTTCAATTTGACAATATTTTAAAAGAGGAGGATAAATTACCTATAAGGAGTGGGGTGTGGGAGGAGAGAGAAGTCATTATAGTAATCTGCACTTCTGCGCCAGACAAATTCTGCTATATTTGTCTCTGTCATCATCAATGATTAAATATCAATATAATCCACTACTAAAAAGTTCAATTACAACTTAAGTGATCCCATTACAAGGGTGAGGACACTCTAAATCCACATATTGCCCAATTAGAAGCAAAGCAATTATGAAATTGATAGGTGATTGATTATTATCTGTGGATTGATATGACTACTTTCAGTATGTATACATGACCATGTAGGACTAGTTCAGTTGACCAGAATTCTTGAATCTCTCATGGAGGTCAAGGGTTTCATGTCTTGCCATGCACAAGTTTCCCCCCCTCCCCAGGCTATGATTGTAAATGTCCAAAAATAAAAATAAAATAAAGAAAGATGGGGACCCTGACATCCCAAAGTTGTATAACAAGATGCTCAGCTCCTGATTGGATTCCAAAGTTGGAATGGCTGTTGTCACACATGTTTAAAACCTGTGTTAAGTATCAAATGAAAAAATACTAGAAGCATTTTTTCCTTAGTTTTTCTTATCAACCTGTACAGAATTGAGTGCAGCAAGTATTGAACGATGTTCTCCAGAAACTTCACACCAGTGACTGCAAGGCTACGACAATCATCAGTCCTTAATTCCTCTGATTTATTTGAACAAAAATACTTAAGCATTAAGTTGCACATATGATAGTTAATTAAAGGAGAAGGCAATATAAGTTACAACCACAGTATATTAGATTTGTGAATCGTAAATTATGCAATTTGCCATGTAATAGTGCTCTTATTTATTGTTGTGTATATATTTTCTTATGATTTCATGAGTCACTATCTAAGTTTCAATGTTGGACTGTGGTGGCGTCCCATGTTTGTCCGTGCTTCTTAGATGTTGACCCATGTTTTGTCTTTGTGATGATTTGAACATAATTGCTGGTGACACAAAGTTGATATGAAATTATGGTCCCTAATAGGAAAATGCAATATTGTATAACTATGAAGTATGAGTGCGGGTGTGGGTACGGATAGGGGTACTAGTATGATACGGGTATGTCAATATGATAAAATCTAAAAAAAGTAAGGTACGGATATGACTTGGTACGTTTGTAAAAAAATATTTATTTTTAATTTGAAATAATACAAAAACTGATTAAATGATTTAATGTGTTAAGATTCAACCTTCAATTAACATTTAATGCCAAAAGTAAATGTATAAATCAAAATTAAATGTCATTATATTAAATAACTTACAAACCACAGGTTAATTTTATAATCATGCTAAGCATAAAATTAAAAATAAAAAAAAAAAGTCTAGTGAAAGAAATTTTATCTCTATAGTAAAAGAAAATAGTATTTCGACTGAGATACAGTATAACTTTATATACTAGGCACGTCTGGGTACGCCAAAAATTGAGAAGAAAAAATTTGAGTACATGTTTCATATACCCTATACATATGTAGAAGTACCATACAAAATACCATAAACTGGTGAGTATCCGGTATGGGCATGGCATGTTTGTCGAAGTACCTATACTTCATAGCTGTATAACTATGTAGACAATACTAGGCCTTAGTCTTGAATGGATGCATATGAGGCCTTTCCTGTGGAAATAAATTTTGCTCACTTGCCATCTATGGAATGTGAAACAACACTACAATTTATAGCTACTTGATTTCAGAAAGTTTTTTAAGAAGTTATTCTTTCTTGATTTAATCACGTATCTCATGGCGATTATTCTATGTTGTAGATATTTGGAGTCCTTGATGTGGAGAAAAAGGGTAAAATAACATTCAAGCAGGTGATAATCTCTCTCTCTTAGTTATACATGCGATCCCCAATTGGTCCCAACATTGTCTCCACAAAGCCAATACAGAGCTTCCCATAGATGGAAAATCTATAGCTTGCAGTTCCTATATGGGTCAGCTCATGTCCTACAGCAACCATTATTCAGATGAGCCTGTGAATTAGCCTTTGCTGAGTGTCATACTGTTGGAAACCATTACATTTCTGAGCAAGAAGTATGTCTCATACTCTTTTCCTTGGTATTCCCTTATATTTATTATACTTCTGGATAAGGTTTAACTTGTGTACTCTTGGTTGGTAAATGGATATGGCTCAGTTGGGAGATTTCATTAAGCTGACTATTCCAAACATGGATGACTTTGAGGTGAGTAATCGACATCCTCATGGGTTTAACGGCCACGTCAATCTAATCCATACAATAACCTTAGAAAAGTAACCACAACAATATATTTTTCTTGTAATTCTTTCGAACTGAAGCTTTGTTTTAGTTTACATTTGTAGATCCATGAGCTATTCAAATCATTTGTTATCGATAACGATGGGAGGATCAACAAGGATGATTTTATCACCTGTTTAAGAAGAATCCGTTGCTCGTATCACTTCTCTCTCCCCAGTTTATGCACAAGAACTTGTCTGGAGTCAATGATACATAGGATGTTAAAAGGAGATGGTGTGATGGATGATGGGTTGATGGGTCAATTTTTGTTGTAGGTTTGGCTCTATGAAACATTTTAGCTCTTTCATAGAGGGCTCAAGTGAGGGATAGGTTATTTGCATATAATTCTTTTTCTTTTGAAAATAATCACTTAACTTCTTGTAATTTGTTGAATAAAATATACAGTTTTCCTCAAAATTAGCAGTGTATTACACGTGCCTACATTTTCAAATAGTGGGGAATTATGTGCATATATAGGGGTAAAGTGAAGTGTTTATTTCAGAAAATGAGATTATTTACGTCTATTTACAAGTATTCATAAATTTTTAAATGACATGGGTATTATGTGCACATAACTTGTACTATAAAGGGATAAAGTGAAATATTTGTATTTTTTTTAAAGAAAGGGGGATAAATTATAAATATGCTTCTCGAAATTTGTTTAGAAATGTAGTTTACTCTTTTGTGATTTTAGAAATTATAACAAAGTAAACGAATAAAAATAAAAATAGCCCTATTTTTTGTCCATAATTAAAATTACCCTATTACCTATCTCCCTTTCCTTTGTCCTCAAACTCATCTTATTTTTCTTTCATTCCAACCACTTTTTATGCTTGTCCCCCACTCTACCACCAGACCCTCTCTCTCCTCTAGAGCTACCATTGTAATTTCTTTATATGGTTGGTGTACACCCCTTTCCTAGTCACCTCCACTCCCTTCCCTACGTTTGCTGCTTACTCTCACTCCCACTTGTACAACCCTTTTTTGAAACACATGGGTAGTGCTCTTGTTTCAAAATCTAAATAATAAATCATATTGGGAGCCATCTCCTTATTAATCTAACCCTATCCACTACTCCCACCCCCACTTGTACTTGAAAATGAAAATAATAATAAACAAATAATTTATCAACCCCTCAGCTAAATGGATCTTGGTTTAACATTCAAAATAGACACCATTGTTGTGATTTTAAAGAAAGAGACTTGCATATTTTTTTCCTTCTTTTTTGTTTTATAGTATGCTTTTGTGATTGCTTTCTTCGTCCTGTGTAAGACCCACCATTATTGTGTTCACACTCTACTTTCTTCTTCTCTGTTTGTCCTTTCCTTTTTTTCCTTTTTTGGGTTAATTTAAATATAAGAAAAAACCTACTTCGAGGTTTCACCCATTTTTCACTATAAACTGTAATGTTTCAATTTTGACAAATTAAACCTTGAAATTTCATCCATATTTTAATGTGCCCCTTCCTTCATCCATCTTCGTTTGTGTAAGGTAACGGAGAATCATTTTGGAATTTAAAGTGAAAAACACTGGGATTTAAAGTGAAAAATGCATGAAACTTTGATTTTTTTTTTTTGGTTGCCCCTTCCTTCATCCATCTTCGTTTGTGTAAGGTAACGGAGAATCATTTTGGAATTTAAAGTGAAAAACACTGGGATTTAAAGTGAAAAATGCATGAAACTTTGATTTTTTTTTTTGGTTTTGTAATTAATCCTAATATATATATATATATCTATATATATATTGTGTATATATAACTTACATATTTATTGTATATGTATATGTGCTTGTATACATGGTGAAATTTTTTTGTTCAAATTTTGACTCTTCTAATTTTGTATCATATGTATACCTATACAATAAGATAAGTTATATACATACATACCAAAAAATATATATATATATTAGGATCAATTACAAAAAAATCCCAACGACGCATTTTTCACTTTAAACCCAAAAACAATTCTCCATTATCTTACATACACGGAGATGGACAGAAAGGACACATTGAAATAAGGATGAAATTCCAAAGTTTAATTTCTCAAAATTAGAATACTAGAATTTAAAGTGAAAAATACGTGAAATCTTCAAAAAAAATTTGTAATTAATCTATGTTTTTTTAGGCCGAACTAGGTTTCAAGGGTAAAAAACTATATGCCATTCTCTTTGATCTTTCTCATAATTTTTAAAACTGAGCATTTGAGATTTATTTAATCCTCTTAAAAATAAAATTTATTTGAAAGAAATGATTTCATGAAAGAGTATTGATTATATATATTTCTTTTTGAATTTTTTTGAGAAAAATATTTGTATATGATTTTTTTTTTTTTTAGGTTAGTCAGATTGTTTTGGAAAATATATTTTGGCCTACTATTCATTTATTTGTATTTAAAAATAATTTCAAGTAAGAATATCATTTTTTGTTATAGCTACAACTAGGAGGAGGAAACTCGAATCTCCACATTATCAGTGGGCATATTCAACTAATTGATGTGTCATAAATGTATTGATTTAATAAATCTCGCTTTCATGTCTACTAACAAATACATTAGTGACACATAAATAATCTAAAATTTAGTCACCGCAACATAACTGAAATTGAAATTATCCAAACAAACAATTATTAATGTAGTTGACAAACAAAAAGGATGAAAAATTTTATACAAGAACAGCAGTAGCTAGTTTGAACATCTGCAATCAGCCAATCCACGAATCTACACAATTTCTCACAAAGACAGTTTCTCCATATGTAGCATCATATCATTTTGACCATTTGCATTATACAGCATGATCAATACTAACAGCTAAGAAAGTACAAGAGTATGGAATGCAATGTGATTAGTGAGATAAGAAAGTCCATCTAGATAGTTTTATGAGGGCCTACCAAAATTTATCAGATCGGAATACGATTGAAGAAAGAAAAAGAACAGTCACTCCTTCCACGCAGGGAGAATTATTGGAACAAAAATTTCCATGTGACTGATCAACAAATGTGTCTGCTACTGCCACTAATTCAACTATATTTCTGTACAATTTATACCAAAGGGTTCAAGTAAACCGCTGTACAGTTCTTTGTGATTTTTTTTTTCTTTTCCTCTTTTTATTTTATATTTTATTTTTATTATATCAGTCCTTATCTTTGGGTGATGGGACTAGTGTTCCTTCAGTGATTTGATTATCATCTGAAGAATTTGAGGGTTGAGATTTGGGTTTACTCATGATCCGAGAGTATCCATAACTGAGAGAGCTTCCACTTGCTTCAGAGAGCTGCATGCAGTATTTGATTGTTGTAACTCTGTCAAAATCCAAATTAAAAAAAAAATGTGTATATATATATATATATATATCTTTGGTCCTATACTAACAAGACATAACTGAATTGTGAAAATCAAACATTAATAAATACCTAGGTAAGCTCAGAAAGATGGCAGGACCTAAACTCGTTGATAGTTGCTGCTATTTCTGACATGGGCAGTTTAGCCTAACAGGGAAAGACAAGATAAGGTAAGAACATTCGAAAGATGCCAAACCAAAATAACCAAACTTCTATAATGTTTTCGACTTTCCATAGCACATGCTAACAATTTCACAAACAAAGCATCAACCAACAGCAGTAACAAGAGTTTGTGTTGCTGCGTTGCAGCTGGCGGATCCATAAGATCAGATACAAATGCCTTCAGTTTTCAATGTGTTAACCGAGTCAAATGCGTTTGTGCGTGTGCATGTGTGTGTGTGTGTGTCACATGAAAGTGAAATTATATCATATAAAGCACAAAACACTTTGGAGAAGAAACAGCTGGTTCTGCTTTACAATCAGAGAACCAGCATGGACATAAAACAGGTGCTCAACAATGAAGATGGTGTACACTAATAATTGAATTGAAACTCAAAGGTAAGCACGTAGCAAGTCACTAATTCAAATTAAAATATCCAATAAGACGTACTGTAATCATTAAGATTGTAGCAAAAATAGATTAATCTTACAGTGATTTATGGAATGTTAATCCAAAAAATTGATCAATTGCATTGCATCCTAGCATAGAACGGTGAGTGACAAATTCAATGGAAATAATATTCAGCTTCCTTATAAATGATTTGTTACAATCGGACTCCACACACTACATGCGACCAATTACTAATGCTCAGCAGATAAAAGATAATCAGTGTGTTTAGTTTGAGTTTTCTGGATTAAGTTTTTTGAAAATTGAGTTTTTTGGTTTTCGTGTTTTTTTGTTTTTAGTAAATATTTTTTAAATTTTAAACATTTTTTTTACTTTTTTAGATGTACCTTACTTAGATGTATCTAAAAAGTAAAAAAAATGTGAAAAAATATTTTAAAAAATTAAGAAATACATAAAAATACAAAAAATATACTGAATTCTTGTATTTTTTTGAATTTTTGGTATTTAGCGAATTTTTAAAAGATTTTTTTTACAATTTTTACCCATTCATGGTGTATTTATGTAGGTATGTTTAAAAAGTAAAAAATTTGCATAAAATATTTTAAAAATTCAGTAAAAACAAAAAAACACAAAAAATAAGAAAGTAGAATTTTCTGAAAACTATTTTTAAAAAAATGGAACCAAACATTGCCAATAGTTTTCATCAATATAAGTATGTACCAAATACGAACAATATGTAGCTCATGCAGTGAAAAATTTTATACAAGAACAGCAGTAGCTAGTTGGAGACTAGGTTCGAAGGTCTCGGGGACCACCTGTAAAAGTTTCAACTAAACTCAAGATATGATATTAAAGCTTTTAAATTTGAACAAAAATTTGATCTTTACATAGATAATGCAAGATATCTTAGTACTGATTAAAGATTTATGCACAAGTCAAACAAGAATAATGAGCTCCTAAAACATAATCCTAAAATACAATTGTAAGATTAACCTATATGGGCAATTAGGCAGATGAAATAACTAATGGAAACAGTAATAGAAATGTACCGCTGTTGCTCCTGCATTTTCCAAATTGAGGCCATGATCAACGTCATGAGCACGGACAAATGTCTTGACATTAGGGAAATATTTGCTCAATACCCAAACTGTTCTATAGTTTGCACCGGGGGTATCTAAAGTTATTGCTGCTGCACATGCTCTTTCAGCACCAACTTTATGGAGCACCTGGTGGCCAGGAATACAAGAAACTGGTCAGATAGTGAACCTGCACAAAGCATATTTAAGTTTGATCACAATTTTCTATACCTCTCAACTACCAGCATCTCCAAAATACACGGGAAGATCAAGTGCACGACTAACAGCTACTTGGTCACTGAAATGATGAAAAATCTAAAATCAGTCATCTGGATGCTGCTGTAAAATATTCTCACAAGCATATAACACATTATTGGGAAGTCTTGGACAAGGCAGAGAATGTGGATTTTTACATTTAACTTTTCTCCTTTCCAATTTGCATTTATGTTAAAATGTTCACATAGATGCTTCAGGGAATAAAGTAAATATAGAAAAACATGGAACCAAAGGTTGGATATTCACTTCAGAGACTTGAGATGAAATCAACCAGAAAATTGGTCCATTGTTTTTTTTCTGTTTTTCTTAGGCAGAAACTAGATCTTATCATAAAAAATGGACGTCATAAAAAAACAAAGAAGCCATACCCCTTAGACAGAATTACATGAAATTGGTCTTCAAACTGGCACAGATTACCAAAAGGAACTAGCTAGAAAACTCACAGCCCAGAATCATATGACTAAGATTTTCAGCAGAATATTCAATCAACAAGCTGTTCTCTCTCTAAGCCCCCAAAATTGACTTTATTCCAGGAAAATCAATTCACTGTGATGGAAGCATACCTTCTCACATCAAGAGCAACAAACGGAATAAGTCGTTCTGAAAGAAGCTGTGTAATGATCTGAAAGAAACACAGAAGAACTACTCTTAGACAAAACATACATCCATACATAAACTACTATCTCTTTTTGGGTAAGAATCCATAAATAAACTACATTAATAATAGATCCACCATAAAAAATGATTTTAGGAGGCACTTACCAATCAGTCCTATTATCTAGACTTATTACATATAGGTTCTGATTGATAAATTTATCACTTTTTAAACTAATTCATCAAAAAAAATTAAATAGTGACAACACCTGTCCAACCCGTCCAAATCCACAGATAATGATATGGTCCTGCAAATCATCTGTCTGGAAACAAGAAGCCAAGGAAATCAAAAATCAATACATTTAGTGGATATTTCAGTGTAATGGCAACATCAACCCAATATCACAAACAGACAATGCATCCCATTGTCGGATGTATGGCTACACCAGTTCATTATACACGATTTAAAATTATTGAATAAAGATTTAGTACATCCTAGGTACAGTTGGACATACTAGATTCAGGAGATTGGAATAGATTTAATAACGGATCATATCTTATGCAAATATTGCAAGACCTAACTTATTTTAGTGCACAGACTTTATGGTAGCCAGTGGTTCTTCACCACCTTCATCCATCATCATCAAATATTTTTGCATGAACTCAAAATGGCAAGACATCGAGAAGGAATTTAAACCCAAAATACCAAGAAAGTGAGTCAGTGTTTACCAAATATTTCTCAAATAAACAAGCACAGCAAGTCTATTAAAACCTAAGACCAAAACAAAGTTCATACACATGCACGGTTCAAAATTAAAAAAGGCTTCATGATGTTGACAGAGAGACTTTTGAGAGCACATCATAAATATTTCCCCACATCTGGTGCAATAACTAATAAAAATGTATGTTCACTAGAAAATCTATGTAACCATTTTCCTAACCAAGCTGAGTTTCGAAAGCTAAGCTACCTGGTAAGCCAATCCTGATTGACAAATCATATCCATAACTAACATAGTACCCATAAACCACATATTATTATCTAGTGGAAAATAATAAATAAATAAAGGAATTGAATTTTGTAAACCACCAATATAAATGCTCACTCAGATCTCGTCAAACTTGACATTATGAATTCTACCTCACTCTCTACAGGTAACAAACTCCGCACACCATGCAGCTCAAAATGAGAGGCTAGTAACGGGCCTCCAGCAGCTAACCATGGGGTAAGGGCCATTGATACCCCTACCACAAGAAACAGCAAAGATGACATCTGAGAAGACATTATACCCTGCAAAAAAATAGCAATTAGCAAACAATTAGTCGTGCTAATAATACTAATGGTAATAGTTACCATTTATATTGTTTTATTTTATTTATCTAGTGCGGGAATACCAGCCTGCATAGTTTATTTATCCACTGTTATGTATTGAAGTTCACAAAAATAAAACAAAATACAATAAAATAAAATTGTTGGAAAAGAGGAACCGAAAGGGAAAAAAAAAACCTAAAAGAATAAAATGATAGCATGAATTTCAGTCAATAATACTGGCTTCCATGTCAGTGCACCACCATAGATTTGCTTCAACTCACATTCACAAAATCAAACTCTCAACAGCACTCCAATCTTGGTATCCTTTAAACATAAAAGAACCTAAGGTCGACCCAATCTTGGTGGCCTATGTAACTTGGTCTAAATAAAGCCCACATCATTTTCAGACCTTGCAATGCTCAACTGACATAAATTTAGGCACTATTTGGCATCTATTTTTTGGATCCTGTTATCAGAGGAGGAGGAGAGTTATTCGTCAGTATATAAATTGTTGATATTATTTTTGTATATCCCTAATCTAAAATCACCATTGGTATCATCTAAGTTGAGAATGGGAGCTAGACATCACATGCATGTACAATCTATGAAGATAAGAGCTTTGAATGCATAAAT